CTCAAAATGATAGCCCATTCACATCTAGAATGCTGTATATATAGCTCTGGCTATGACATCCCAATAAAAACATGTAAAAGCTGGAAAAGTTCCAAAAAGGGAAAATTAGAATGATGAAGGTGGGGGAGGGTATAGGAAGGCTTTTCTGTGAAGAGAAATTCAATAAATGATTCTTCTCATCTAAAATATGAAGTCTAATGAAGAGTGGCTACAAGCCAGGTTCTAGACTAAGCCACATCTCAGCTTGAAACTTGTCCTCATTTTTGACCAGTCAGCTGGTCTCAAAAGTTTTGGGTTCACCACCACCGAAGCAAGTTTCAGACAACATGTGGCACAGATTTGCTGTGAAAAGGCATACCGTACTATATGAGGGGTTGACAGGCCAAAACAGAAGTGATGGTAGCCCAGGCTTCAAAATCATACAGGCTTTGTTTTGAACCCTGTGTGTGATTTGATAAGTAGACTGTGAGGGGAAAAAGGGGGGAGTGATCTTTTTTCTGTCAGAATTTGTAACATCATTCATGACTCATTCAAAATTATCAACTTAAAAATTAGCCTGTTGTATTTGGTCAAACATTTAATTAACTCATCCCTAATGAGTCCTGGTGTGGCGCTGTGTGTTAATGCCCAGACTGCTAAGCTGTTTGAACTGCAAGGTCAGCGGTTCAAACTCACCATTGGCTCCACGGAACCCTGTACAGGGTTGCTATGGGTTGGAATCGACTAGACGGCACTTCACAACAACAACAATGTGATCAATGGGGGTCCTGGTGTGGTGTTGTGGGTTAATGCACTGGACTATAAAGTCGGTTTGAACAACAAGGTCAGCAGTTCAAACTCACCAGCCACTCCTCAGAAACCCTATACAGTGTCACTATGAGTCAGAACCGATTTGATAGCACTTAACAACAACATATAACATATACACATATATATGTTAACCAATTCTGTAACTCTTTGATTCCCTTAAAGTAAAACTGGGAGGAAAAATCTTAACAAAAAGCTTCCTTTTAATTAATATCATCATCATCTAGATTAGGGTCCTTAACATGCAGTACAGAAATCTAGGACCTCTAAGTTACAGGCATATGCATTTTACTGTTAAGAGAACTACCACATTCTTCTGAGTTTTCAAAAGGGCCCCTCAAAAATTTAAAAATCACTAATTCTGATAAGAGATACTTCCCAATCAAATGACCACTTTATACCAATTTTAAAGATTCTTAGAAGTTCCCACATGATATACACTCTGAAATCCCACATGATATACATTCTGATGGTATGACAGAGTGACAGTGAAATCCACAAAGGACAAGAGTTCGGAACGGGGAATGGAGAGGCTGTTCCAACAGAAATTTTCTATATGGGTGATCTTGGGAAAACACTTGCAATTTTTGGCCTTGATTCCCTGATCCAAAAGAGAGCTGTGCTTTAATAAATAAGTTTCAAGGATTTTTCTTCCCGGTTCTCTCATTCTGTGACATAATGCAAAAACAAGACAAAAATGAGTTAAACTACTTACATCACTAATGAGTTCTGTGCATTTTCTGGCCAATTCCATGCTTAGATCTTCAATAACAGGCTTATAGAATACCTGTTCAAAAAAAAAAAAAAGGAAAAGGAACATTTTTCTAATCATCAACATAGGGAAACAATTTCATTCTTCAAAAGGTACATTCTCACTCACCGTATCTTCATTTTCTTCATCCCCTGTTTCTTTCTCTTCAGTTTCATCTTTTAGATCCTCGAATATAGGGACCCTCATGGTTGCTCTGTGAAAACAATGTAAATCATAAAGAAATGTAGTGCCAGGTTATGTTCTCCGGACTTTTGAGATCTCAGTGTCTCTGGTGTCCTGGTATAAAATGTCCTTGCCCAGACCTCAGCCCTATTTAGCTAACACTTAACTCTCCTTATCACAATCCTGTGTGACTGAATGGAACAGGATGGCAAATGCCATCAGAAGCAGTAAAAATATCTTAACAGGCAAAATTCAATTATAAGAACTGATTTTACAACTGGCTAAAAAATCCAAAAGAGAAACTTCACTTTGACTTCATTAATTCAATTCCGTCATAAAATAATTTTAAAAGGATATAAACCTAGTGGGAAAACTGTCCAGTTACAACACTTAAGATATCACCATTGAAAGCCCCTTATCTCAAAGATACAACTTCATCTAAATAAAGCTTTCAGTGGAATGTTGGGCCTATCTCTGATTTGGTATAGTGAATGTAGATTGTCCACACTCATTTCATTAACCTAAATTTTTTTTTTTTTTTAGGAGACACATACCAACTTTTCTCATTCTGAATATAGTCACTTAATATTTGCTGATTAAAGGCTAGTCATTTACTATGAAAAATCGTCTTAACTTCTGCAAAGAATCTATCCTGGGTTCATTTTCACTGTGTATCTTACAATGGTGAACTGGCATTGTTAGAATGGTTGTTGTTATTAAGTGCAGTCGAGTTGGTTCTGACCCACAGCGACCCTGTACAGGGTTTTCACGGGGCAGCTGGTGAGCTTGAACCACTGACTTCTTATAGTTCAAAGGACTTTGCAGTCTTACGCATTAAAAATGAGAAGTTGCAGTTAATGTCTGCTTCTATATCACTTGAGAATTATACAAACCTAACTGCTTCAAATAGTAACAATGACTTTACTTCAATTCTGTTCATTGTGTCAAGTTTTACAAATTCACTAGATATTTGTATATTCCTCAGTGTGTACAAAATTTGAAAAAGCTTGGAAATGGAAACTATAACAATATTAACAGTATGCTATTATGTCATCGATTATAAAATTTAAAACAAATTTCCTTAAACAAACTCTGTAATGCCAATCTAGGCAATCCCAAGACTATATAACTGACACTGTATCAATTTAGTTATTTGAATCCTAGAGTAAATTAATCATTACAAAGCCATAGCATATCAATATTGGACATTACAAATATCCTATGGTGAACAATGTAACCAATTTTATAAATTACAACTTTATTCAAAATTGTGCATCATTCTAAGTAGCCAAGTATGACGATGTCTTCTCTTGATATCATATCCAGTTTTCAATTTGCTAAAAAACAAAAATAAATAAAAAAATTGCTTTGGGTTTGTCAAAACAGAAAACTCGGCAAGAAATTCCACACAGTCATTTGTAGATTATTTCTCAAGTTGTGTTCCATGAACTAAAAATTCCACAAAATACTCTGGAAAGATGAAAAGAAATCTCTTACGGAAGTGTGGGAAAATCTGCCATTTTTTTCCCTTGCTCATAAATGGGAGAAAATGCATATGTATTTTTTATTCACACACACTGGAAACTTTTCCATATTTGTAAACAGAGTCATTTGAAAATTTGTGAATTAACTGTTATTTTGTATATTTTTTTTCATTCATACAAATCTTAAATCCTTTGTATTATTGTAGCAGTACATATACATTTGTAGCAGTACAAAAACATTTGCCATTTCATTTATTTTGACATGTACCATCCAATCCACCAACTACACTCTCCAACACCACTGGCCATTTCCAATTTTTTTCCCCTCTCTCTCCTCCCCCCCACTTCGGTTTCTTTCTTTTATTTTTTTTTCCCCTCCCTTCCTTTTCTTTTTAACTGCCTTCCATCACACAGGTTACCATGTGTCTATATTCTATTGAGTGAATAATTCTCCCTTCTCTCCCATTCCTGGTATCAATCACAGAATGCTTATTATAGAATGAACATCTTTTCTTGACTTTTTACAGTAGTGATCTCAGACAATAACTGTCCCTTTGTGATTGACTAATTTCACTCAGCATAATGTCCTGCTGATTCCTCCATGTTATGTGGTATTTTGCAGATTCATCATTATTCTTCAATGTTGTAGAATATTCCATGTGTATATGTACCAAAGTTTTTCAACCATTCCTCTGCTTATAAGAGCATCTAGACTATATCCTTTTGTTATTTTGAATAATGTTATAACGAACATGGGCGTGCATATATCTATTTATATCATGGCTTTTAATTCTTGTAGAAAGATTTATTTATGTAGAAAGATTGCTGGTTTGTATGGTATTTCTATTTCCAACTGTCTTAGGCTGGATTCTGTAGAGAAGCAAAACCAGTAAAACTTATATATGCATATTCAAAGAGAAGTTTATTATCAAGGGAATGGCACACACAGTTGTAAAAGTGGGAGAGTTCCAAATCCAGATCAGATGAACCAAGATGGGCAGGTCAGATGGCAGGCAGACAATAGAGCAGGTCACTGGCTCAAGTTCAAAGAATCAGAGGTCAGAGGATGAGCCAGATGCAAGATAGACAGCCAAAAAGCTTGCCTAAGTGTCTAATATATTGGAAGTAGGCCATACCCCTGAGGAAACATCCTTTTAATTGATTGGCGGATCATAGCAGAACTCATCAGAGAGTTGATTACATTATATTAGATCTCATTAGAGGTTAACTACATCTCAACTGCAAAACCATTGAGAATCCTAGCCAAGTTGATACAAAACCTTAACACTCACACCAACCTTGTATCATACCATTTTCCACAGAAGTTGCACCATTTTATAGTCCCACCAGCAGTGTATGAGGTTCCTATACTCCACACCCTCTCCAATATTTGTTATTTTCTGATTTTTTGAATTTTGCTATTAATGCTGTGATAAGATGATATCTCATTGTTGTTTTGATTTGCATCTCTCTAACAGTTAATGATCACGAGTATTACTTCTTATGCTTTTTGGACACCTAAATATCTTCTTTAGTGAAGCATCTGTTCATGTCCAATGGCTAGTTTTTTAATTAGATATTTGTCTTCTTATTACTGAGATGTTGAAGTGGTCTGTAAAGTTTAGGCAGGTGCTCCTTGTCTGATGTATCATTGCCAATTTCCCCCCCAAGTCTGTGAGTTCTCTTTGTACTCTTTTAGTGAAATCTTTTTGATGTGCTTAAGTAACTGTTTTGGGGAGGTCTCACAGTCATCAATGTCATCTTCTGCTGTTTGTGTGTTTTTAGTTATGCTTGACAGTGTTTTTATGCAATATATCAGAGCCCCTAAGTTTACCCCTATTTTTTCAATGATGATCTTTATAATTCTAAGTGTTACAATTAGATATTTAATTGACATGGAGTTTCTTTTTGTATATGGTGTGAGATATGGGTCTTATTTCATGCTTCTGCAAATAGATTTCCAATTTTGCCAGCACCATTTGTTAAAGAGACTATCTCTTCCCCATTTAATGTGTTTGGGTCCTTTGTCAAAGATCAACTAAGCAAATTGAATAGATTTACTTCTGGGTTCTCAATTCTATTCCACTGACCTATGTGTCTTTTGTTGTACCAGTACCAGGTTGTTTTTATTACTGTAGCTCTGTAGTAGGGTTTTGAAATTTGAAAGTGAGAGGCCTCCTAGTTTGTTCTTTTTTAAGTAATGCCTTGTTTATCTGAGATCTCTTTCCTTTCCATAGAAAGCTGGGATTTAGCTTTTCCATCTCTTTAAGGACCGAGATTGGAACCTGGATTGGGATTACGCTGTATCTATAGATTGCTTTGGGTGAAGTTGGCATTTCCACAATGTTAAGTCTTCCTATTCACAACCATGGTATATTCTTGCATTTTGGTAGTAATTGTTACCAATGCCATTTAGAGATCCACATCTTATATTGGTATATTAGGAAGCTCTGAGATGAACTGCATCCAAGAAATCTATGTTGGTTTGATTATGCCATCATTTCTCAAATGTGGAATCTTGTACAATTATTAATGATATCTACTACCTCAGAAAACGAACATGGTTCTGTGTAATGTTATTTGGAAACTATTACTCTATTCTAATAAAATGGTGCAAACAAAAAAAATGGTGGGCCTTTTTAGAAATATCTTTTGATAAAAGATCAAATGGTATCAAATATCCTATATACTAGCAAAATGCCAAAAAAGGAAAAGAAAAGAAATAGTCCTAAGGGTGCTGAATCTGAGCACCATACTTTTAAAGCAGCAAATACGTCATGGCTTCCAAGAGTAGTAGGTACTTCAAGGTAAGTCTTGGATGTTACATTCGCTCCATACAGAAGCAGAACGCTTGGACTGTTTTACTTTTCCTCAATCTCCCTTCCAGACAACTGTTCTAATATTCTATAGAAGATCTATGCCATTATACTTTCTTAGAAATAGGAAAGAGTAATTTTTATAAACTTTTTTGCAATATTCTAAAAGTATATATAGAAAATCTTGCGAAAGCTGACTGAGACATACCCTTTGACTGTTGTCTGAAGTGATAATAATGCTCGTGTTGCTCAAATGGTATCTTTCCCCACAGTAAATTACCTTCCTCGGGCTTCATATGCAGCTATTTTCTGATTTCTCATCATGTAACAAGTTCCTGCTGATGCCCATGTGCTGGAAGAAAATAATCTGTTGAGATTTAATGCAGAAAAGTTTTGAAAGCAAAATCCAACCCCAACATGCAATGTCCCATAATTGAAAATTAGAGATTTTAGAATCAGGATTTTAAAGCCAAAGGGATCCTTTAAAAAACATTCTACCTAAAGCTTTCTTCTGTTTAGAAAGTAGACAATTAAAACTAAGAGAAACTGAGTATTTGTCAATGTAAAGTACTCAGTCTGGAGGAGTACTAAGATTAGAATTTAACTAGAGCTTTGTAATGGATCAAATTGTCCCTTCAAATGGTATATTCAAGTCCTAGCCTCCCCACACCACCCCAACCCACCCACACACACACACCGCCCCTGCAAAAAACAATCTGACTCA